TATAAATATATAAACTATGTTACATGCGTTATATGCGTCTCTAATTATTTTTTCCTAGCAAATTTCAATTGAACCTAAAGCCGCCACGTCAGTTTAATTGATATGCTAATTGATTGACAACTAAGCAAGGTTACTTTTTAATTAATACAAACTTGAGGTTACATCTTTTCAAATGTTTCTCAATTAATATATAGGGGATTATCACATAAAATCCTTAAGGGACGAGTGTATTCAACTGAGAATTTTATGTGATTTGTATCAAACTGTTATTTAAACATAAGTTTTAAAAAATCATTTAAAATTTACTATTAAATTTAACATTTCATAAAATACTTTGAACTTCACTGTTATTGATTTTTTTTTAAAATGCTAAGGTTTTAAAGTTTAAACGGGATTTTATTATTTGGATAAATCTTTTTAAGAAAAAAATTAAAACTCAAATCTCATAGTTTTATATGATATTTTAGAGTGATTTAATAAAAATCATTTTAAACTCTGTTGAAATCATCAAAAACTTTATTAAAATCAAATCAAGTCAAACTTTAAATCGAATCCACCCATTAGTAAAATACCATTTGCTTAATCCAAATTAAATTTATTTTAAGATAGTAGATTCTCCTAAAATTAATCACGTTATTAATCCTTGACTAATTCTCCTAAAATTAATCACGTTATTAATCCTTAATCAATTCTCCATTACGGAGTAAAATGCTTTTGACTACTACAAAAGGAATTTAAGAGTGGGGTCCAAAGCTGACACGACACAAAAAACTTTGGTTTCTCCGTCTTTGTTGGAGAAATGCATTCACATCCACTTCTTTACAGACAAATAAAATAAAAATAAAAAAAAATCCAATTTTTAAATTTCTTTCTTCAGGTCTCTTCTTCTATCTCAGATGAATGCTCTTTGTCCATTGTTGTCGCATATTCGAAATAACCAACTTTCCTTTCATGGCATCTTCTTCTCCCACTCACTTCTCTCTCTCCCATGATCCTTCTTCTTCTTCCTCCACACCTCTCCTCAACCTCCAAACCCAAAGAACGGTATGTGTCGTCAAGTCTCTCCCTTTTCTCTTTCTTTGTCGGAATTTGATAGTGGGTTTGTCGCATTTTGATTCAGATCTTCAGTTCTAAGGACTTTGAGAAGACCCAGTTGAGAATTCCCGTTTCTTTCAGGTAAAATCTCTGAGATTTAATGACTTTTCAGTTTAGTAATAATATGAATCTAAGAAGATTTGTTTTTTCTTTTTTGGTGATGCATTTCGTTATTATATCTTATGTTTTAGTTTCTTAGGTTGTTAGTATTGGAAGAATTTGTGATGTTTCAAAATGGCAAAACCCTCTGTGGACATGTACTGTTATATTCAAGTGCTCACAGTGTTTGGTTCTTTTGTGGTTTTAACAGGAAAGAAGCTGTCAACTTGCAAATGATGGCATCAGGGAAGACACCTGGATTGACTCAGGAAGCTACAATTGATAAAAAAGATAACGCTGACGTGTTTCACGACATGAAAGAGCGGTTCCTCGCCTTTAAGAAGCTTAAGTACATGTAAGTGGCTGAGAGAACCTTTTTCTTCAGTCTTTTGCTTCTTTATATATGGAGGATTTGATTGGTTTTCTGTTTAAACAGGGATAACTTGGAACACTTCAAGAATCTGGCAGATGCTCAAGCTCCAAAGGTAGCGTTAAATGTTTATCATTGTTCATGGTTGGCTTGAGATTATCTTGTTCTGGAGAAGGGAATGGTTGCTAACACTTTAAGAAACAGTTTCTGGTGATTGCTTGTGCAGACTCTAGGGTTTGTCCTTCTGCCATCCTTGGATTTCAACCTGGTGAAGCATTCACTGTCCGTAACATTGCAAATTTAGTACCTTCTTATGAGGTACACAATCTAGTGCACACAGCCATTGTTTTCTTTTGTATTCCGGGCTGATTCACATCTGATGTATCATGTAATTTTATTTTCCTGCTGCAGTCAGAACCTTCTGAAACAAAAGCTGCTCTGGAGTTCTCTGTGAATACTCTTAAAGTAAACATCTTATTCCTTACAGTTTATACTAAGAGATTCATACACGAAGTTTTTAATAAAACATAAGTAAGAAAATAAACATGTGTTTCAAGTTGTTATGAGTGGAACAAATGTTTTGAGAAACTTTCTATAGAATCTGTTCACAGTTTTACCGTTCAGAGTTCTGTTTCTTTCATGAAATTAGTTTCTTTTTGATTCTCTTGTAAAGAACTTGAACCACTGGGAAAGAAAACTGAAATCTAAAGGCAACATACACCATATAAACGCACTCATTGTAATTATTTGTCTCATTGAGGAGTTGTGGGATTTGATCTATTAAACTTGTAGGTGGAGAACATCTTAATTATTGGTCATAGCCGCTGTGGAGGAATTCAAGCTTTAATGGGCATGGAAGACGAAGGAGATTCCAGGTTTCTTTTAATCACCTCTTTTGATCACTATATCAAGAAAACAACACTTCTTAATTGTAATTTCCTGTAAACAGAAGTTTTATACATAACTGGGTGAAAGTGGGGAAAAAGGCAAAGGAAAGCACAAAAGCTGTTGCTTCAAACCTCCATTTTGATCATCAATGCCAACATTGTGAAAAGGTGATGTCTTTTTGGTAAACCAATGGAACTTATATACACATCTTATAATAATGGATGAACTTATATAGAATGTATAAGCGTGCAGGCATCGATAAATCATTCATTAGAAAGGCTGCTTGGTTATCCATGGATAGAAGAGAAAGTGAAGAAAGGATCACTGTCTCTCCATGGCGGGTACTATGATTTTGTAAACTGTACATTTGAGAAATGGACTGTAGATTATGGAGAAAGCAGAGGCAAGAAAGAAGGCAGTGGGATTGCTGTTAAAAACCGGTCTGTTTGGTGATGACTAATGACCATCTCCATCTTCATTGGATTATCTTTCATAATTTGAGAAACATAAGAGATCCCATTTCTTGGAATGGGATAATCTTATGTGTTTACTTTGATGCAGTTGTGTGTTGAAAAAGATCATTTCCTAATTCTACGTCTCATTGAGGTTTAGACTTTGAGAGATCCCTACAGGAACTTACGTTTTCTTTTGTCTTTGTAATGGTTTGTGAATTAGTGAGTTTTTTTTTGGTTTTCTTGATATAATCATCTTTGTCCACTGTAGTGGGATAAGATGCTTACAGTCAATAATCAATACATTTGACATTTGTCATTCATTTATTTTATGGTTAGAAATACAGTCAATATTCATCACTCCTAAAGCCACCAATACATATATTAAGTTAGCTTAGGTTGATGATTAATTCGCATTAAGAAAGAATTCTGTTACAACAATGAATTGATTACAATAGTTGACTCATACTATAAGTCTGTATAGAGACAACTCAAGGGCTGATGGTGGGAGGTGCTGAGATGGATGGAACCGGCTTGAGGTTTCCAGAAGGTGTTGCAGGAGGAGGGTAAGAAGGGGAAACAGGGCTGGGAAATTGAGGGAAGTTTGGGACACCAAGACCCGGAAACTGAGGCAAACCGGGTGTTGGGTTGCTTGGAAAACCAGGTCTTGGAAACTGAGGGAATGGCATTGGGTTGGTTGGGAAACCGGGTCTTGGGAACTGAGGGATAGGCATTGGGTTAGTTGGGAAACCGGGTCTTGGGAACTGAGGGATAGGCATTGGGTTAGCTGGGAAACCGGGTTTAGGGAACTGAGGGATTGGCATTGGATTGGTTGGGAAACCGGGTCTTGGAAGATGAAAACCAGGTTTGGGGAAATGAGGTCTAAAAAATCTTCGTCTTAACATATGTTTCTTGGCAAGTTGTTTTGCAGCATTACTTGAAGTGATCATGGAAGAGAACATGAGAGCCATGAGAATAGACGAGGCTAAAATGATTTTAGATGAGGCCATTGTGTTTGAAACAATCAAAAAGAAGTTTCAGAGTTAATTGATATGTGTTTTAATTTGATTGTTTCTTCTCCCTAGTGGAGATGGGTTTATATAGTAGCAAACTCAAAGAGGATAACAAGTACAATTTTATTTCATTTGACTGTTTGTTTTTCTTTTTTTAGATTTGCCTAATAGTTTCATTATTAAGAACAGAAAACTGGTAATATTGTTACCATTTTGTTGCTATTTATTTGAATATATGTTACATTGTAGTTGTAACAACAAAACATATCCATAAGATGTAGAATTGACCATGCCTAATCAAATTGCATTAATTTTCTCATCAACATTGAGGACATACATCTAGCGAACCATAACCCTTGTTGTGTTCCACAACCTTACTCAAAACAAGTCTTGCCCACTCACCAAATTATGTTTCATTGTATCCAATCATAGCGTTTTTATAGACCAACGACATACATCGTCTATCAGCATCAGGAAACTTACATGTTTCTCCAAAAGGGTCATGCCATGCTCCTTCATGTCTCATCCCCGACCAATTAGCTCCCCACTTATACACAAATTGACCAACTCCTGCCAGCTTAAGCCATCCTTTGGGGAAAAACTCCATCCCACTACTATTTCTATCCATTAGAAACAAGTTAGTCAGCTGTGCACCATGTGGTGATACTAACACATCGGTCTTCTTCATCAGCTCCACTTGCTCACAAAACGTTAGATTATCCGAATAAGCAACACTTAATACACACCCATCTACTCTCTCACACTCTTTTTTAAAAACACTGATGACAACTGACTCGTTTTTGAAAGATCTGGCTCCTGTTCTCAGTAGCAATGTCATACCGATTCGCGGTTTCGATGTATTCGCTGAAGTGATGTTACAGTAGTTTCTAGCTTTGCATCTAAGGTGATCGAAAACCTCTAGTCTTCTCTCCCTTGACATTCCACCTTCATTGTGTCTCATAACAACAGCTTTCTCAAAGCAAACTGGCTTGTCCTCATCAACAAAATGTAAAATCTCTGGCTTCTCACCGTAAGTGGCTGTGAGTATTTCGCTCAACCAATGCCCCATCCAATACCTTAGCTCTCCCCAGTGGTATAACACCCATTTTTGAGGCCTTTCACATTGGTTTCTTAAGCTCCAAGAAACAAATGGGAGTGCTGCCGATAGTCCATGCCACAAGTTAACGTGATCGTAGTGATTATAAGAAACAAAAGTCAATCCCTCCTGAAGAGTGGCATTGGTAGGAAGAGCTTCAGGCCAAGCCAACGCGTAGTAGTTCCATGATCCATCGTGCACATCAACTCCTTTTAAGCAAAGAAGCCTTCCTTTGGAAGAATCTGAAGGAAACTTTTGATGCTGAGCTTCTCCTTTGGTTTGGTTATCCAAGAGAGAGCTCATGAACCAAGTATGACCTTCCTGCGGGTTGTTTGAAAAGCGAAGGTCCTTGAGTGGAAGGAACGTCACGGATTCACGTAGCTTTTCCACCAAGTAAGCTGTCTTGTTATCAGATGTTTGTTCAGGTTGGTGTTTCAGATACGTCAAGAGAGCAGGTGGGAGTGAAAGGGAACGTTGAGTGATTTGAAATAAAGATATTTGGAGAATGACATAAATAGTGGAAACGAGGCACAAGATGGTTAAGTAGAACTTAAGGGAGGAAAAACAAGTAACTAGCTTTGGCAAGACACTAGCTCTAGTTGTCATTGTGAATCACATAGAGAGAAGCAGAGTCGGTTCAATCTGTTGAAATATGTGAAAGAAACTTGTGAGCAATAGATGGTCAACCGTCAACGCAACGTGACCTGCATTGTAATATTCGTTACAGGTTGGATCAACAAACACATGAATTTTCAATTTTAGTTGCCATTTCTACATTCAACGATACCTAATCTATCAATTTAACTTCATTATATTAGAATAAAATTGATTCATGTGGGTGATTTACTACAAATATCATCTATTAAAAAAAAAACTAAACCCCTCATTATTGGTATATTTCATATAAATCATTTGAAAATCAAGTGACATTTTAAAGATCCACACATTTGCATGTAGTTTATTATATACATGCATACACGTGGTTACTGTTATTCTTCGATATGATATTAAAGTACTTAAAAACCGTTTCATAAATGATATTCCAACAGAATAGATTTAATTTTAATTAAGCCATAGCATACTATACTCTCGCGTGGTACATGTATGTTTTTTTCTAACACAAAACTAAATTACGATTATATCAGCTTTATCCCAACCAGGGCGTATTTGATAATATGATGAGAGATGGATTGGAAGAATTATATTACTCTCATGAGAATAATATTTTCCTAATCTATGTAGAAACAAATATATGTAATATCCCATATAATAAATATACAATATTTGCTAATACTACTGTGATATATTATATCTTCTATATGCCCCCTCAATCTCAAGATGATAATGGAGTTGTAATGGAATGGCAAGCTTGAAATTGATTTGGTGGAAGATTGTGGTGAGTACTTGGATCAGCGGCGGAAGATGGCTGTGTTAGTGGTGAGGAGATAGATAGACGGTGATGATAGTGACGTGCATTCTTTGGTGGTGGTGATCACATTTATGATGTGCAGCGCATGCTTGTGGAAGAGAAGCTCGCTTGTTGGAGATTAAGACCCATAATCTTGTTTCCATGAAATACTGGTTCCAACTTCAGTTTATCAACATCACTTCTCTTAAAGCTCCAAATAGTTCCATAATCTTCAAAATACTTCAGAATGTATCTGATTCTGGAAAGACTTTTAAAGACTTAAAACATATATGATAGACTTTAAATAGGACTTATATCATGATTGAAGATCAGTAAAAACCATGATATATCACTTGCCCTCTCACATCATTAATACTCAAACTAAGACCAATGTGTCACAAAACAATGTGTCACAAAAGACCAATGTGTCACAAAACAATTTGAAAAGTCTTTCTCTCTAGATTTATCTGCAACTTCTAAGAATGTCACTCAAATTTCTCCAACTTGTGTTTTAGCTGTCTAGACATCCAAACATCTGATAATAAGATTCATTTGTTCCTTATGATTTTTATCTGGTGTGCAGTCAAGACTAACTGAAAAGTACTTCACCTCTTGAATCTTTTTGATGAACATAAGTTTGACCTCAGATGCTAGCATAACATTCATCTCATCCTGAATCGTTTGGCTTAAATAATGGTAGTGAGTCTTACCTTCCTTAACTTGCCGAATATATACTCTCAAACGACTGAATCAAACTCTCCAACAAATTCAACAAACTCAAAAAGTTTCCATTGATTCTGTAACCAAACTTCTCATTAGTCCAACAAAATACTAAATTCTTTAGCAAGAGTTGATATCAATGAAAATATTCAACAGGACTTCTCTCCAATGGTTTCTTTCTTTTTTTATTTCTTCTTGGAGACACTTATAAGTGGTCTCCTTCTTATTTAGCATCAATTCCGATTCTATCCACTTACTCATGCACACAATATGTCAATGGCTAGTTTCATGTTGACTCATCTTATCCTGATTTTCTTCCAATCCTTAAACCTCTTGCTTGATAATTGACGGACATCTCGATCTCGGCCAAACAATTTACAGCAAAAACGATAAGCCTTGTTTGATGCTTTTGAATAAATTAGCCAATTCCTATATTCTTTATCTCCATTTTTCATCTTTCTTTTGTAATATTTATGAGAAACAATGTCTACCATGACCATTTTTTAGAAATCTATAGTTCTCATGTATTCTTTTCATAGGATCTATTTCACAAGAAAATCTATCAAAATTTGATCAACTATTTTCCAGCTAGCAGGATCAGTTTTATCTAAATTCCCCTCTTGTTCTTCACCATCCACATCATATTTTTTACTCATTTTCTTCTCTTTATCAGATTTATCTACAATTTTCTCTGCCTTATCATCCTCTAAAGCAGTAGGGTTTTCATCACTAGTTCTACTACATTCACCAGTATGTAGAGTTTTTGATTCTTTTTGTTTAACTTACCTTAACATAGAATTGGCTTAAAGCTTCTCCTCTTTTTTCCTTTTTTTCTTTTCTTTCTTTTTGGGTTCATGATTTACACTTTGTTTTTCTTGTTAAAATTCATACAGATTTCATGTCAGGAAAAAAAAATAGTAAGATTGATTTTTTATTATATTTTCAGTTCTTATATAAACTTATAATAATCATAACTAGGTAGTAACCCGCACTGTGCGCAATATGAAATAGTTTATAGATTATATTTTGTACATTGTATCTATAGATTTATCTTATAACTTTTTACGTATGAGTATTCATATATCTATTCAGATTCAGTTAGTTTATTCAGATTTTTAGAGTCAGAAATTTAAATCTTATTCGAATATTTACAAACTTTAATTTACATTTGGTTAGAATCATTTCAGGCTCAATTTAGATTCGCATCATGATGTCCATTTTAATTACATATTTGTCAAAAAAAAATCCAAATATACTTAAGTCCTTAAAAGCCAAAAATAAAATAATATAAAACATAAAACATAAAAAAAATTTGAATAATATAGGACTAAATATTTTAATTTGCATAAAATTTAGTTCAATTTAAATATTTGGATAAGAACAAATAAATATTGTCACTATTTTGAACATTTACTGTTATTTTAAAATATTTACTTGTGATTATGTTGATAATTTTTGGATATTTTCATATTTCTGAATATCTAACAGAAATAAAATTTAAAATAATTAATATATATAAGTATATAATTATGAATAGATGTTTTGATATCCAAAATAGTTTAGTCTGTATTTGATTTGAGTCTGGTTATCTGGATATTAAAATTTTAGATCCATCTGATTACTTAATTAGTTTTAGTTTGTGTTTAATATTACTTTTAAATCTAGTTTGGTTTGGTTCATCGAATCCATATATTTATCCATACTTACTTTCTTCTAATAATAAAGAAAAATAAATTTAAAATAAATATGATGGCTTATTTAACTTTCATAATCATTAGACTATTCTTTAAGAATAATAAAAATGATTGGACGTCGTGTCAATATTGTTGTACATGTTGCAAAATTGACATAGACTATAACTAATAACGTGTATTTTCTTATAAAAAAATTCTTGGAAACTATGGTAATAACACTATATTATTGAGCGAAAGGGGCTAGAGTTGCGTGTAAAATAATATGATCTCTTCACTCGGTATTTGAATTCTGTTTTCAATCGACATCACAAATTTTATTTCCTTTTAATTTTTTTTTTTAATTTTTGATCTTTTTTAGTAATCTGATTATGTTTCTAATTCTTGGTGTGATATGAAAATTTCGTAAAGAAAATCAATACTTGGCTAAACTAAAGATTTGATTTCGTGGTAGTGTTTTTTATTTCAGTTTTCTTAATTCATAACCAATGACAATTATTTGTTATTTTCGTGAAAAAAAACCTCAACCATAGCCAAGTTCGGCAAGATATGGAATGTTCATTTTCTAAGAACCTTCTTGTTCAAGAATTTTAGTTGATGTGAATCTTAATAATTTATTTATTTATTTCTTTTAAAATGACATTATTCATTAGTTGTAAAAAGAGAATTTTAATTAATTTAAGTTCACTATTACAAATGTTAAAAACCTATGAACTAAAATTGAGTTGATTGAAAAAAATAGAATGTGAGCACATTAAATTGTCTGTAATGTAATTAAAAATTAGGGTGTAAACGTATTAATTGTTAAACGATTGTGAGGATGACACGTTAATATATTCAAAAAATATAGTGTGTACGTATTATTAGGAATTATTCTCCTTTAATATATAGGGGATATGTTTACCTGCCTTGGTTTATGAACAGATTAATCCTGACTTTGTCGACCTTTACCGAGTGTTTTTGTGTTAGCAGGTGACTAGGTGAGTGAAGCAAACGTTTGTGACCAGATGTGGGGATTGAAATGTAGAAGAACAAATTGGCTGTTGAGTTTTCTATACGTGTTGATATATGTTAACAAACTGAACTGACTCTACAATTTGTCAATTTCTCAAAATTGAAAAACAAAATGAAATTTCTACGTTAAATAACATATCCAGTAGGACCAGGACAACTGACAATTCCTGATCAAATTGCATTATTATTCATCAACACTGAGGACATACATCTACAGAACCATAACCTTTGTTGTGTTCCGGACTCTCCTTCTTTCTAATGTTAACCTTACCCAAAACGAGTCTTGCCCACTCACCAAAATATGTCTCATTGTATCCGATCATAGCGTTTTTAAAAACCAACGACATACATCGTCTATCAGTATCAGCAAACTGACATGTTTCCCCAACCGGATCATGCCAAGTGCCTTCATGTCTCATTCCTGACCAATTAGCTCCCCATTGGAACACGCGTTGACCAACACCTGCAAGCTTAAGCCATCCTTTGGGGAAAAACTCCATCACACTACTATTCCTATCCATTAGAAACAAGTTAGTCATATGTGCACCGTGTGGTGATACTAACACATCGGTCTTCTTCATCAGCTCCACTTGGTCACAAAATGTTAGATTATCCGAATAAGAAACATTTAATACACACCCATCCACTCTCTCACACTCTTTTTTAAAGACATTGATGACAACTGACTCGTTCTTGAATGATCTGGCTCCTGTTCTCAGTAACAATGTCATACCGATTCGCGGTCTTGATGTCTCGGCTGATGTGATGTTACAGTAGTTTCTTACTTTGCATCTAACATGATCAAAAACCTCCAATCTTCTCTCCCTTGACATTCCAGCTTCGTTGTGCCTCATAACAACGGCCTTCTCGAAGCAAACCGGCTTGTTTTCATCAACAAAATGTAAAAACTCCGGTTCTTGACCGTAAGTAGCTCTGAGTATTTCACTTACCCAATGTCCCATCCAGAACCTTAGCTCTCCCCAGTGGTATAAAACCCATTTTTGAGGCTTTTCACATCGGTTTCTTAAGCTCCAAGAAACAAATGGGACTGCTGCTGTTAGTCCATGCCACAAGTTACCATAATCATAGTGATTATAAGAAACAAAAGTCAAACCCTCCTGAAGAATGGCATTGGTAGGAAGAGCTTCAGGCCAAGCCAACGCGTAGTAGTTCCATGCTCCATCATGTTCATCGATTCCTTTTAAGCACAAAAGCCTTCCTTTGGAAGAATCTGAAGGAAATTCTTGATACTGAGCCTCGCCTCTGGTTTGGTTATCAAAGAGAGAACTCATGAACCAGGTGTGACCTTCTAGTGGTTTGTTTGAAAAGCGAATGTCCTTGAGTGGAAGGAAAGTCACTGATTCACGTAGCTTTTCCACCAAGTAAGCTGTCTTGTTTTCATATGTTTGATCAGGTTGGTGTTTCAGATACGTCAAGAGAGCAGGTGGGAGTGAAAGTGAGCGTTGAGTGATTTGAAATGAGCAGATTTGGAGAAGAACAAAAACAGTGGCAACGAGACACAAGGCGGTTAAGTATAACTTAAGAGAGGATAAGCAAGTGACTAGCCTTGGCCAAACACTAGCTTTAGTCGTCATTGTGAATGAGTAGTGAATCACATAGAGTGAAGCAGAGTGGGTTCAATTTGTTGATATATGTGAGCAATATAATTAAGGTCAACGCAACGATACCTGCACAACGCCATTAATATTCGTGACAGATTTTGGATCAACCAACACATGCTTTCCGTTTTTAATTCCTAGTTTTACAATTTTTAATTGCCATCTTTACATTCTACGATAAGTTTTTTTATAATCCCAAAGTTATGTTAACCACTCTGATTTAATACACTTGTGACTTGTCTACTCGAATTATTCATATAATTAAGCCACTGGTATTTCTTTAGTTTCCTGTGTTAACAGTCATTGATCATACTTGTCGATTTTCGAGCTAGATCTCTATGAGTTGAAATAGTTGGTATGGATCTCTTTAGTGTCGAATATATTAATTTTGGATCAGGTACAAATTTAACATTGAACAAATATTACTTTAATATATTTATGTTTACATTCACCTCTTTCTATATTAAGATGCAGTTGAGTATATTTTGTGCTCTATGCTTAAAAGTAGACAGTAGTATATTATAAAGGAGAAAATATTCAGTTTTTTTCTTTCTTAATAATGATAGCATGGTTTAGGGTTCTTTGGTCATGTATGAATTTAATAGAAACTTTAAATCTATAACAGTTACAAATAAATAAATTTATTTGATCTGATTTACTTTTATATCATCATTTTAATTGAAAGAAATAAGTGTTTAAAGTGTCTTCCTTTGTAATAAAAGTTCAAAATACAGTTTTGGGTAAATAAAATGGTGGAAGTGCTCTTTTGCGTAACTTACTCTATTATCAATTCAGAGGAATAATTTTAAATAATGCTTATACAGAAGGCAAATACTTTGGAGAAAAATGTTGATGAAGTATCATATATTCAAAAGTATTAGAGTATTTTATGTTGCCTACACTTCCATCAACACCGACATTCATCTAACGAACCAGAACCGCGGTTGCGTTCATTCACATCGTTCATCTTTCTTACTCTTAACCTATCCAAAACGCTTCTTGCCCAATCACCAAAGTAAGTCTCGTTGTATCCAATCTTAGCATTCTTATAGACCGACATGCAACGTCTATCGGTATCAAGAAACTGACATGTTTCCCCAACAGGATCACGCCAAGAACCTTCATGTTTCATTCCTGACCAATTAGCTCCCCATTGGTACACAAACTGACCAACACCCGCAAGCTTAAGCCATCCTTTAGGGTAAAACTCCATCACACTACTATTCCTATCCATTAGAACCAAGTTTGTGAGTTGGGCACCGTGTGGTGACACTAACACATCTGTGTTTCTCATTAGCTCCACTTGCTCACAAAATGTTATATTATCTGAATAAGAAACCTTTAGTTCACACCCTTTTACTCTCTTACACTCTCTCTTGAAAATATTGGTCACGGCTGAAACATTTTTAAACGATCTTGGTCCGGTTCTCATAAGCAATGTCATACCGATTCGCGGGTTTGAGGTCTTGGATGAGCTGATGTTACAGTAGTTTCTTGATTTGCATCTAATGAGATCGAAGACTTCTATTCTTCTTTCCCTTGACATGCCACCTTCGTTGTGTCTCATGACAACTGCTTTCTCAAAGCAAACGGGTGTGTTCTCATCGACAAACCGTACAAAATTTGGTTCCTGACCGTAAGTAGCTGTGATGATCTCTTTCAACCAAGTTCCCATGTTGAATCTGAGTTCTCCCCAGTGGTATAAAATCCATCTTTGAGGCTTTTCACATTGATTTCTTAAGCTCCAAGCAACAAATGGGACCATGGAGGATAGTCCATGCCACATGTTACCATAATCGTAATGGTTATAGGAAACAAATGTCAATCCCTTCCTGAGACTGGCGTTTACCGGAAGAGCTTGAGGCCAAGCCAGTGCATAGTAATTCCATGAACCATCATGTTTATCAAACCCTTTCAAGCACAATAGCCTTCCTTTGGAAGATTTTGAAGGAAACTCTTGATATTGTACCTCACCTTTGGTTTGGTTATCATAGAGAGAGCTCATGAACCATGTATGACCTTCAAGTGGTTTGTTTGAAAAACGAAGGTCTTTAAGGGGAAGGAATGTTACTGACTCACGTAGCTTCTTCATCAAGTAAGCTGTCTCGTTATGGGACACTTCTGGTTTTTGTTGTTGGTGGTGGTTTAGATATGTGAGTAGTGATGGAGGGAGTAAAATGGGTTGTAAGGTAATGTGAAATGACCATATTTGGAGAAGAACAAAGACTGTGACGACGAGGCACAAGACATTCAAGGAGAACTTAGGAGATGATAAGCGAGTGACTAGCCTCCATGAAACACTGCGTTTAGTCATGTTAGGATGGTAGAAGTGAATGAATGTCAAGACAGAGAATGGTTCTATTTGATGATTGAAATGGGTGAAAAGTGAAACTCGTGAGAGGAAAACTGAAGCTAACTTTATCTACCAAAGAAGTTGATAAATTGCATGTTGGAAAAGAACGTTATCAGTTTCTAGCATCAGCCAACACATGCTTCTTGTTTTATTTTCTATAAATTAAAAATGCATTTCTCAGTTTAATTTGTTCACAAACTTCGTTGTAGAGTATTCATATATATGCGTGTTCATCAAATATAATTACTAGATGTTTATGCTGTTACTATAAGAGATGGTCAACTGTGGCTATGACATGGTAAAACACTAGTGAAGGTCTAAACTATTACTCTAGAAACTATTAATATATATATATAACGGGAGAGATGTGCTCAATTTAAAAAAAAAAATACAAACTAGAAATGTGTGCGTATAAACAATATTCAAATAGTGTTTTACTGCAAATGTAAAAAAAACTCATAACAGCTTAAACGTAAATCTTACAAACATAGCCAAATTTCATATTACCAAGAGTCAGTGCCGGTCCGGACTTCATTGGCGCCTAAAGCAGACTTAAAAAATGATGTCCTTCAAATTTTATCAAAACATTTATATGATAAAAGTATACTAAATATTATAATATATGTTATTAACCAAAATATAATTCATCACGTATGATATATCAATAAAAAATATTTTATTTTTAAGAAGTTAAATTTAAATTTATTTATACAGAAATAATTTTTATCGGAATTATTAAATGATAAACAATATGTGTTTAGGTAAAATGAAAATTTTCTTTTTCAGTTCCAGCATCTTTACATCCTTTGTAACTGGATTGAAAACATTTTATAGTTCTAGTTCCATACTCTAATAGCATTAATTTATAAAATATAACTAACATATGATCAAATCCGTACTTGAGCTCTATATCAAACTGTCTTGAGCTTTATATCAATTTTAATTTGTTTGATTCTAAAGTTTCTTACAAAATCACAAGAACTTATAAAAAAAAAACTATATAGTAGAACATCAATCACAATGAAACGTGATGAGAAATTGGTTATGGAGAAAGAAACATAAACAAAAAAAAACTGCAAGAAGATAAATTGTCTCTCTTAATAAAGCAAAAGGGAGATTTTGTTTAATAACATATTTATTCTAATAATATATCCCTAAATATGAAATGCATAATAAAGGAAACTAGAGTTATCAGAGTTATCAAAATTGTCCGTATCTTTCAATGAATCAAATCTTGACCTGTTATTAATTTCAGAAAATGGCAATTGTTATTAAAAAAGGAAAAGATAAATAGGTAGCTTCGTACCAAAGACCACAAGTCAAATGATCAAGAACATTAACCACTAGACTAAAGTAAACTCTCTGTTAAGTGATGCCCCTAAATAGTATATAATCCCTGGCGCCTAAATCTCTTGCTTTATGGGCTTTAGCTCAGGGCCGGTTCTACCAAGAGTAAAGAACCAAATAAGCATTTAACATATATAAAATAATCATCAAAAGGGAAATTTAAGGTACAACCATACGGATGTATATGTGTAATCAACCATACGGATGTATATGTGTAATCAACCATACCAAAAGACACCACAATGAAACTGGCGTAGTGTCAAGCTTGATAAGCTCAAAGATCGTTGATTCCAAGAGGAATGGCCGTTCGACGAGGACTCGATGATTGTTGATTCCGAAGCATGGTTGTTCAAACAAGGGTTCTTGATATTCGTTGATTCCAAAAATACTGAAGACAAGGAATATGAACTGAAAGTTCTAAGGGTTTTTGTATATTCAATAATCAATGGTCTTTACAAAGCTATAGATCAAACTATGTATACTAGGCTAACAAGATCGTAACCGTATCTCCTCATTCTAATCTACAGAAGTTGTACTTATCCTCATAATTAATATAAATGGCTAAATAAAATAGAAACTTTATAAACACATATATCCCGTATGCCCATGGTCCATAGTATGCGCTGCATCAGAAACAACTCATTATAGTTTAAGAAATACAGAAAATTCATTAAGTAGCTAATCATTCAAGGACTCGATGTAGTTGTAGTAGGCGGAGGAGAGAAAAATGGAATGGATGAGAGAAGGGATTGTTGTAGGAAATGAAAGCAAAGTTGGCATTGAAATGGAGCGATGGAAGTGGGAATAGTTGGAACAGTTGGTTGTGGCAATGGAGGAATTGAAGTGGGAATGGTGGGAAGAGTTGGTTGTGGCAAAGTCGATGGCAATGGAGGTAGTCCCGTTGTTAGAATAGGCATATTTGGAATTTGAGGAAGAGGTTGTTGCTGGAGAAGATGGCGTGACGCCGAACAAGTCTTGATCATAATAGAAGAAGAAAGACTCACTAAGAAAGCAATGAGAAAAAGCTTGTACGATGCCATCTTTGATATGTTGATGAGTTTTAGATCATGGTTAAGCGACTCTCTTGTTGCTTTTTCGTTTTAATGCTTTGTGTTGCTGATATGTTGTGAGTCTATATAGTGGGAAGAGTCTATATCGATTACAAAAAAAACTTATCATAGATATAATGTTTTATGGTTTTGGTAGGTGTATTTTATGGTTGGTTTTTGAGCCTTGTTAGTTCAACTTAATGTGTTTTAGACTATATTGACAATTCAATGATTTTAATTTAAGTTAGTTCAACAGTCAAAAACCCTCCAACTCTAATACATTGGTTACCTAGCCACCCTTAGTTAGTTCACATGCTTCTTGTTTTGTTTTCTACAGTATTAAAAATGCAATTCTCCGTTTCTTCACTTTGCTTTTTAGAACAAAATATACACTATCTTCGTTGCAATGTTCGTAGTAGTGTATGATATATGGGGAAAAATTCCATAAAAATACTCCAATCCAAATTTTCTTACTAGTCAGTTTGATACTCTAATTAATTATTTTGTTCCTTTTGGTACACAAGTTCTTAATTATGTCCCTTTTAATACACAAAACTTTATTTATTTTAATTAGAAAAAAATTCAGAAAAATACTTAAACCAAATTACATTAAGCTTTTTAATATCCAATTTTTTTGGGATAAATTCAATTATACCACTTTGGTGGTACCACTTTTCATGTTTACCATCAACAAAGGAACATTTTAAAAAATACACATTTTATTAAGGGAAATTGCCAAAATAACACTTTCAAGATACCACTTTTCAACTTTACACTAACCAACTTTACCACTAAAATTTTGATAGTCAAAATACTATTAGTTATTAGGGTTTTGGGTTTTGGGTTTTGGGTTTAGGATTGATAGTTTAGGGTTTATTGTTGATTTTTTAGGGTTTAGGGTTTACTTTTTAGAGTTTAGAGTTTAGGGTTTAAGGTTAGAATTGATATTTTAGGGTTTAGGGTTTATTTTTAGGGTTTAGGGTTTACTTTTTAGGGTCTAGAGTTTAGAATTGATGTTTTAGGGGTTAGGTTTAATATTTTATTTAATATTTATTTTATGTATATATATAAAAAACAAGGATATAAGAGTCTTTTATCTTTTAATAAAATGTGTATTTTTGAAAAATTCCTTTGTTGATGGTAAACATGAAAAGTGGTACCACCAAAGTGGTATAATTGAAATTCTCCCTTTTATTAAAGGATAAAAGACTCTTATATCTTTGTTCTTTATATATATACTAGGATAAGACCCGCGCCTTGCGCAGGATGAAACTATTATTTTAATTATGTTTTTGAAAATGAAACAATAGTTCAGTTTCATTCGTGATTAGAGGTGTTCAATCCGGATATCAGGTTTCGGTTCGGCTCGATTTTTTGGTATTTCGATCATTAAAATATAACTACTATTCTAAATCTATATGTACTTCAGTTTGATTTGGTTTATATACCATCGGTTTTCAGTTTATTCAATTTTATACCAAAAAACATAATTATTTAGTTTGAGATCATATTATATATTATACAAATATATAATATGATCATATTTAGAGT